CTAGATCACCCAGGGCTTTCTGAAAGAGAGAACTTCATGCGGAGGGACAGCCTAGTTCCTCATCTGTTTTTTCCACAAGTAGCTGTGTCATAAGCTGGTGATATGTTCTTTCAAGATGACTGTCTTGAAACAGATGCCTCAGCAATCAAAGCTTATCATCAGGCACTTTCACTACCTTTTCCACAGCAGCCGCACCATTTTACATGCCCACCAACAGTGCCCAAGGGCTCCTTCTCCACATCCTCATCAACTTGTCATTTTCTGGGTTTTGATGGTGGCCATGCTAACGGTTGTGAGGTGGCAGACTCACATTTTGAACAGATCCTTCAGTCTTTAGTGCCGAGAACAGAGAGCTTCGGACAAGTGTCTGGGACATGGAACAACAGAGCTCTGAGATGGAACTTTCCCAAGGGCTGCCTCCCACCTCCTTTAGCCCAGAGCTAGGCCCTGGGAATGGATCGTGGTGACCACACGGTGATGCCAGGCTGCCGAGGTCAGCGGTGCCCTGGCACTGCGTCTTGAAGATGCCCCCATACTGTCTTAATTAGTCAGAAAACTCACAGGCCTTTGGGCGGGACTGTCACCCCTCCCTGAAGGGCGGGAGCAGAGGACCCTGGGGATCCCTTTCTGGACTCATGTGACTCACCTCCAAGGTACATGGCAACACCATAGCGCTTGTTGCTGACACTCTAGCCGTCCCTGTGTTCCCCTAGGTTCTGGGAGTCTTTTGCTTTTCTTAACAGAACTTTACAGAGATATTACATCCATAGAGTAAAATGCACAGATCCTAGTTTGCTGGATGAGTCTTACGTATGTAAACGGCTGTGTGCCCGCCATCCAGATCAAGCTCTGAACACTTCCAGCCCCAGAAGACTCCTCGGGCCCCTCCAAGGGAAATCGCTCTTCTGACCTGTTACCACAGCCGTGCTCGCTGCTGTCTGGCTTCTTCTCCTCAACCCTGAGGTTCACTGATGTTGTTTCCTGTATCCACAGCTCCTTGTGATTGCTGACAGCTATTCCATCGTATCAATACTATAGTATTCATATACTATAGTATATAGGAGAAACTATAGTAGAAACTATAGTTTGTTTTGCCTTTCTCCTGTTGGGGAACATTTGTGTTGTTTCCAGTTTGGGGCTGTGGCGAGTCAAGCTGGTATGAACATATGTTGGGTCTTGACCTCTCGCGGGCAAATAGGTAGGAGTGGAATAGCCAGGACACAGGAGAGGTAGATACTTGACTTTACCAGAATCCATCAAAAGTTTCCAAAGCTATGCTATTTTACGCTCCAACCTGGCAATGAATGGGGTTCCAATTGTTCCACATCCCAATCACAATGACGTTGTCGCCGGTGTCCCTGGTGTCCCTGGTGTCGGCAAGGATGGCCAAGAATCTCCCTTCCTTTCCCTCCTTTCTGCTCCAAGTGTGCTGTTGGCCCCTTCAATCTGGTCAATCTCTGGTTGATCCGGGAATATAGTGGGGATGGAGGGAGGGCAGGGGGACATGGGGCCTGTCTATGGGAGCGTCTCAAAGAAGTCAGTCTTTGCAAATGCAGCTGCATCGAGCAAGGTGCAAGAAGGAAGGGGGTGCAGACAGACGTGCGGCCCTGGGCGCCTTCCACCCACTGGTGCTTGTAGGACCCTGAACGGCTCATGCTCGGCTGACCGCTGGGCCTCTCCCTGGCACACTGCAGGGGCCTGCTGGACTTCACTGCTCCCCTCCTCCCCACTACCCCCACCCAGCCTATTCTCCTCGTCTCCTTTAGTCCATCACGTCCCTTAACTGGGTGCTAAAGCCAGGAAAGGACAGTTTATTTATTATGTCCTCCCCACTCCATGTCACCTGGAATGTTCTCTTATGTCCAAGACTTCTGCTATCTCCCTTCTGAAGCCCAGAGAAAGGGAGAGAGGAGAAGAGAAGACGGAGATAGAGGGGCTCGGGAGCTCCCAGGGCACCACTGCACTCCGGGGCAACAATCTCCATTATGACATACTCTCTTGAAAAACATTTCTTTCTACGTGATGATGTTTTTACACGATGAATAGAATTTTAAGGGGAGAAATACTTTTTTGAGAACGTACGTGTCCTCATACAGCTCAGGCTGCCACTAGTGAGCTGTGTGACCTTGGGCCTGTCCCTTAGACTCTCTGATCCTCGGTTTCTCTGTGTGTAAAATGGGTATAACCAGGCCTTCCCACCACCACCACCACCACCCTGGGCACGGGCATGTCCAGCCACACAGGTGCTGTCAAGTAGCCCCACTGTTTTCTGGACACTGACCAAGCATGCTCAGGAGACAGGTACGCACAATGGGCGGTATCGTCTAGAAACTCAGTCATGTCAGTGTGGTCAGGCTCTTTGAACCTACATGAACCAAATACGATTCAGTCTCGGGGTGGAGCACAGGAGGAGAGAGGAGGGGAGGGTCATTGAGGTGGGGAGTGTCCACTTCCCTCTCTCTGGTTCTCACCCTCACCCCTTCTTCCCCAGGACTACACCTTTCTCTCTTTCTCCAGATCCACTTCGTCTTGCTCCTGGCTCCTCCCCATTGAATGACTGTCAAATTTGGTTGGTGTCTCTTTCTTTGTTAAGTCCTCCCCGGGGCTAACGACTGCCCAGCTGGTGTGAAAAGCAGCGGTAGCCACAGAATTGGTGGAGAGATGGCCAGCAGCACCCAGCCTCCCTACATAAACCCAGTGAGTCCCGGAATGTGGGCATGGGGCAGTGCTGGCTCGGGGTCATGCAGCTCTGGGTCTTTAAGGAAATAACTCTTGGTTGATAGGGTTGGGGGGGCATCCTAAAGGGAACACAAGAAGGGCTGGAGTGCCAGATGGGGCAGTCCTGACACAACGTCTGCCCCAGACTGGTCTCCCTTGTCCCTCTCAGGACTGGAGGGCTGATGAGCACCAGGAGTCGGGCATTTGACAAGGTTGACTGAGTTCCCTCTGGGGGCCTTGTCCTGGGGGCTGGTGGAGGGTGGTAGAAGATAGGCGGGAGTGATAACTGGAAGAGGGATGTTCTGGTTGCATGAAAGGGCAGTCAACAGGACTATGTGGGGAGGATGACAACCCAGCATGGCAGTCAAGGGCACTTACTTTGGAGTTGGCCTTCCTGGGATCAGCCACTTCCTAGCTGGATGACCTCAGGCAAGTTCCCTTTACCTCTGTGGGCCTCAGTTTCCACGTCTGTAAAATGGGGCTAATCCTGGGGCCCACCTCCCAAGGTTGGCGTAAGGATTGAGGGAAGCAGCATTTCTAGAGTGCCTGAACATGATGGCACCTATGGGGGCTTTGGAGGTGTCAAGTATTGTTAGGAGTCTGGGTGCAGCAGGGAAGGCCTCCCAAGGAGGGTCTGCTCCCTGAGGGCAAGTTAACAAGGCAGGGCGGGTCAAGGGTGTCTGCAGGGGGCCCACCTCGGGAGTGAGGGAGGAGAGGGGCTGTCCCTCAGTGGGGGACACAAAGGGCTGCCTTTTGCACCATTTAGCCACTTGTGTGGAGGCCCTGTCTGCAGGTGGTCTCATTTCAACCCCGTGAGGCTCATCATCCTCGCGTCACACAGGGGAAAACTGGCTCAGAGAGGCTGGGGTCACAAGCCAATGTCCCCGATGGTAAGAGGCCGAGAAGGATGGTGCCTTGATTTACCCCAGAGGAGGGGAGCGCCCACAGAGAGAGCGATAATGGGGAAGGCAGGCAGGCAGCAAGGGGCCTCCGGGACAGAACGTGTCACCCTGGGCGTGTTCTCCGTCAGATGGGGGAGCCCAGGGCCCCATCCAGGCCCTACCATTTCATTATCCTGGTGACTAGTGTTTACTTTCCAATCCTTGGATTCCAAGGCCAGATTGTTCCACTCAGAAGGACAATCCTCCTACGGGCAGCACAGAGTTAAAACTCAGCCTTGGAGTCAGGACGAGAAAGAAGACGGGTGCAGTCCCCACAGGCGCCTGGAGCCCCTGGTGACCCCCCGACCTCCAGCCATGGGAACCAGGTCGCTGCCTCCAAAGTGCAGCGGGAAAGTCATGGCCCTGCTGTTCTGCTCAGTCCCATTCCCCTCAGAGGGCCAGGACGGAAGGTGCGACCACAGGCAGCACAGGAATCACTGTTTGGTCCAGGAAGCACTTGGTGAGCCAGGAGCGAGGGTGTTCTGTGCTTCATCGTGAGAAGAAGCCTGTGTGGTGGTTACAAGCATGGGTGCTGGGGTTCAAACCCCACTCTGTCACTCACCTGCTGTGTGGCTTTGGGCAAGATACCAGACTTTCTGTGCCTCAGTTTCCTCATCTGTAGAGGTGGCACTAATCACGGCCTGGGTTGTTGTGAGGATAACGAGAAACACAGACAGGAAGGTCGGCCACCAGAAGGGCCTCGGGACGTCTGGGGCAGCAGCGCCCTCTGGTGAAAAGCCTCACACTGCCTCCTGCAGGTGAGCTCCCTCTGCCAGGCGGGCTGGGTGCCCGCTGGTTACACGGGGCCTCCAAAAGGAGGCTGCCCACCCTCTGGCCTGCAGGGCCTGGCTCTGCTGTCTGGACTTCTGGATAGGAAGAGAAGGAAAAAGTTCTCAGGCTCCAGGCACAGCCAGAGCAGAGAGCAAGTTCTGACCAGGCACAGGGACTAATTCCTCCAGATGCAAACAGCTGCCACCGTCAAGGCCTGTGAGCCCGGGTTTTTCCACACGGCATCTCATTTGATCCTCTCAAAACTCTGCCAGGAGGGGGCTGTTGTGTTGCTGCTCCACGGAGGGACCTGGGGTGCAGACAGCTCAAGTGACTTGCCCAACAGAGATGCTCGCACAGGGAGCTGCTGCAGGTGAGCCCAGGCCTGTGGGGCCATAAAACCAGCACAAAAACCCATCCTCCTGCTCCATAGGAGCAAAAGCAAGTGCCGTTGTTTCTTGCTAGGATCCCTCACTCACACGCACACAGGTCCAAACTCCACAGCAGCCTTGGCTGGCCAGGCTTAACACAACACAAATTTGTTCTCTCAGTTCTGGAGGTCAGAAACCGAAAATGAAGGTATCAGCAAGGATGTTCCCTTCTGGAGGCTTCAGAGGAGAATCTGTCTTCTCTCTGCTGGCAGTCCGCTTCTCTGGGATCATCCAAGGGGGTCTCCAGGAGGGACACTGCATCACTGTCATTGGTGCCGTTTTAGCCTCCAGTGGGACCAGGTACCTGGAACTGTGGTTTCTCTGCAGCCTCTCCCCTTTGCAAACCATGGCACCTGTCCGCTCAGGTTGGTTCACCCAACACTCTCCGAGCTGCCTGCTCCTGGAGATGCCAGATGAGTGGGGCCAGGCCCCTGCCAACACTGAATGGCACCACTGCCCTCTAACAATAGTGTGTGGGCCCCATTAATACAGACCCCTGGTAGACATAGGGATGACGGGAGCTCGCAGTCTACAGAGAGAAGCAGACAAGCCCAGAGGCATATGATTATTTAGAGAGTTGAACTTTGCACCCTATGACCCAGAGGTGCAAATATATCACTTCCTTTATTTCCCAGAACTGCCCTCATCTACTTCGAAACCCTCACCCGGCTACTGTGGAAATACTTAAACTTGCCATCCAATGTAATTTGATGAAAGTTCTCACACCTGGAGAGCTCACATTTATTCTATGCCTCCCCTTTTATTTTATTTATTTTTTGGTTACGCCTTCCATTTTAGACCCTGTCTATGTAGGAATATTCCCATCAATTTCACATGTTCTTTAAATTTGTTCTCTTTTTTCCCAATTGAGCAGACATGGGCCGGCTTCCAATGAGTGTCCACTGGGTGCTGAAGGCTCTTCTAGGCACGTTTCCCAACTTCCATCTTTGACACAAATTTGTTAGTTTCCAAGACCTAGGCTTCTTGTCGCTAGCGTCAACACTTCTCTTTACCCATTTTCTACCTATTTTTTGAAAATCATACTGTAAGGGCAAAATGCAACAACTGCACAAAAACACACTAAGTTCTAATTAGGTGAACAGATAGGATGGCAACAGACTGAGGACTGCAGGTGGCGTGTAAGTTCCCAGACAGACGCCAGTCAAAGGCGAGGCCCTCCTGGTCCTGCCATTGGCATGAGCCAGGCTACAGGTGACTATCTGATTTCCCTTGCCTAGGTTTGCTGTGAACTTTCAGATTGGCCGCAGTGACAATGACATTGCCTTCCACTTCAACCCACGGTTTAAAGAGGGCGGGTACATGGTCTGCAACACGAAGCAGCAAGGACGCTGGGGGCAGGAGGAGAGGAAGACGCACCTGCCCTTACAGAGGGGGAGTCCTTTTGAGCTCAGCTTCCTGGTGCGGAGGTGGCATTTCCAGGTGAGCAGGAGCTCTCCTCCCCGCCCTCCCACTGCCTGTCGCCTCAGCCCTAACAGGTGCTGAATAGCCTTAAAGTAATCACACGCATTGACATCTGGCCGAGCAACACCATTAGACAGATAACAGGACCACTTCCTTGTCAGGGTGTTACTGATGGCTGCAGTCTCCTTACACCTTCACCTGCACCCACAGGGGCACCTGCTGCTTCTGTCACTCAGGGAATAAGAACCAAATAAGTCTCCATGGTGTATTTTGGCTTCCTGGGTCTTTAAGTCCAAGTTAATTCCTTTCCCCTGCTGCAGCCACTCGACCACTCCAGGTCCCTGAGAACACTGGTGTTTTGACAACGTTGTTGCAGCCTTTATCCAGGTTCTATTAATGGCTTGGTTTTGCAAGGTGTTGCACATTGCTTTTGCCAGCAGAGCCCTGTCTCTGGGCTTGGGAAGACCGGTGGGGGTGATTATGTCTGTGTCTGCGCTTCCCTGACTGAAAGTGGATGTTCCCGTCCCCTCCACATGCAATCTGAGGTCGCCTCTCCTCTGTTCCCTATGAAGAGTTTTAGGCATATTTAAATAACACCCCAGGTGAGCCCCGATCAGACTGACAAACCTACTGGCATAAACAAATAACCGTGAGAACAAAAAGCCAACAACTAGAGCCGGGCACAGACTGAGTGCGGATGCCCTCTGGATCCCACGCATGTTCCTGTACCTGGCACAGCTCTGAAGGCTGGTGCCCCCACCCACAGGGATGGGTGTGAAAACCAGATGCAGGTCTTAATTTCTAGAAGCCTGGGTCCCAGAGGCTTAGGTGTGCCCCTCGCTCCAGCCTGGGACCCCTCTCCTGGAATGTGTGCTCGTCTTGGCAGGTGACAGTCAACAGGAGCCTCTTTGTGCAGTACTCACACCGTGTGCCCTTCCACCGCGTGGACACCCTCTCTGTCACCGGCATTGTGCAGCTGTCCTCCATCAGCTTCCAGGTCAGATGGTCCACCTGGCACCTGTCCCAGGGACGGGGGCAGGGCCCAGTCTAGCTGTGCCCTGGCTCTGTTGGGTGACCCCAAACCCAGGTGACTCTGGGGACTCACCTCCAGCTCCTGTGTCCCATCCTTCTGGTGTTGCCGTCTCTTCTGGAACACCTGCCCCCGTCTCCCAGACTCCTAGGCCACTCGTCTGTGTCACTCTCTATTTCCCCCCTGGTTAGGAGGCCATGTGGTTCCAGAAAGAACCCAGGCCTGAGAATCAAACTGAATCCAGCTCAGATTCCAGGCTCTGCCATTCTCATTGGCTGTGGGATCTTAGACAAGCGGCTTCCTCTCTCCCAGCCTCAGTTTCCTCATCTGTGGAAGGGGCATAGTTGCTGCTGCCCCAAGGGTTACTGTGTGAGCTCATGAGGTGATGTATGTCGGAGGCTATAAAATGGCCCTCATGTGCCCACACCAAGGTCTACTTGACCGTCTCTGTGTTTTAAGATTTTTGAACATCTTGCCAACATCTAAAAGGTCAGGAAAAGTTTGTAGGGTGAGAAGGTTCTCGAGCTGGATTGTGGTGGCATTTACACAATGATGTGAATGTAATAGAGCCACCGAACTGTAAACTCAAAAACTGTTAACACGGGACTTTTTATGTGTATTTCACCACAATTAAAAAAAATGTCAGGAAACATCACATGAAAATCTGGATTTCTAGTGTTTTGTGAAAACTGGAGGGATTGGGGTATGTTGGGCCCACATTCCCACAGGCCCCAGGAGGCTGGACTGGAGCTGTTGTTACCACTTTCGGTATTTCGTGTGCTCCTGAGGTGGGGACAACACACAAAGGCCCTCAGCAAATATGAGCTCCTCTCTCTTAGGTCCTCATCTCTCATATTCCTCCCTATCCAACTGTCTCCCCT